TACAATAAAAGTAATAAAAGTCCATTATTAAGTAAAATAAGGGTCATTTGAACTCAAGCGCTGCGATACCATAACAATCAATCTGATAAATCTGATAACCCAGCCAACTGCTAAGCATATGCTAGACAAAGGGATGATTCATGTTCTGGGCAGGACAGAGAGGAACAGTGGAAGATTTTATCACACCACTCAGAATGGCACACAATTTAAAATTTATGAATTGTTTATTCCTGAAATTTTCCGCTTAATATTTTTTAACTATGGCTGACTGCGGGTAACTGAAACTGTGGAAAGTGAAACCGCACATAAGGGGGGAAATACTGTAGATAGGTAGACAGACAGATAGACAGACAGACAGACAGATGATAAATAGATAGATAAGATATAGGTGAGATGACTTATTAAGCACGTTATTTTATAATAAATATTTGGCTGAACTAAAAAAAATACATATTTAGCACACCAAATTGATGATTCTATTAACCTAAATTTCCATATTAATTTGATCTATTTCTCAACTTCATATTCTTTGCCATTGATTGGTCTGTTCATATCCAATTAAAAAGAAAAAAAGGAGGCTGACTCAGTTTAAAAAAAAAAAAATACCACGTAGCCCAAGAACCTAAGAGGCAGAAATGCCAAAATCTGCATACAAAAGCAGTAATAGATGCCACTTGAAGGTCAAGCTCCCAGAAGGCTGCTAAGGCAAGGGCACTGGGTTTCTCAGAAACAATCTTACTCCACACATACTCGCATACCACTTAAGATGTGAATATTACCATCTGGTAGTTAAAAAAACAAAAATTTCCACAATGAGGGATATCCTATATACAATATAACATGAATGTATTGTGATGTCACCTTAGACATGAGGTAAGTAATTGCTCCAGAAGTCTGGGTTGTGTACACACTTGCTTTTCACAGAGCTAACTTGAAACCAAGCTACCAGTAGTCCATAAATGGAAACCTTCACAGCTTAGACCCATAAAGCAATGTTTTAATGTAGAGACTTAAAAAAAATCCTTCGAAACATTTTCTTTGCAGTGCCTCCCTTCAATTGGTAGCCAAACCCTCCCTTCAGCTCCACCTCTTTACCTACCCTTTTTCCTATTGGTCTGTCTATCCTAAGTCCATTTGGCTCTGTGCTGTTACCTGCTTGGGAAGTTGAAAAAGTACATGAAGCAGACTGTGACTTGCTGCAATTCTAGACATTTTTCCACTGGCAGTCAATTCAACCTAATAAACCCTTCATCGAGACCTACCCCTAACATTTCTATCACTTGCCCCTGATTGGGTTTTTTCCATTGTATCATTCACTCTTCTCATCAAGCTTCTCATCACATCAGTGCCCCATCTCACTTTCAGTGGATGGCTTTGATTTTATTTCCTCTATTAAAAATGAGACAATCACCCCTTATCTATTCTTATTGCCTCCATCAGCACTGGTTCTCATTCTCCTCCAGCATCTTACTTCACAAACATCCCCTCTCATTCCTCTATCTTCAATACCTTCCTCTGCCTTTTCCTTGTAAGTCTATAAATATGATTACATCTTTCTCAACCTATAATCATCAAAACTCCTTTCCTTAGTTTTATGAACTTTGAAGCTACTTCCCATCTTCCTCCTTGTCTCATCTCTCAACCTAATTTGGGCCAACCTCCATCTCCACTTCACTGAAATTGCTCTAAATTCACCTGTTACTAAATTGCCAAATCTTAATTTTAATTTACCTTATTTTTCTGCAGTGTTTGCCTGTATTGTCAGCTTCTTATTTCTTGAAATTTAATTCCTCTAGGTTTCCAGAAAACTATTTTCTTGTTATTCAGACAATTCCTTTACTACTAGGTATCTCTTCTGAACATTAAGTTTGCTCCTCTTGGCTCTATTCTCTTATTCTATAAGCTTCCCATCTCTGATCTCATCTATATCCATGGTTTGGATCCATTTCAATTATCTTTTATAGGCTAATAATTCCAAATCTCAGCCTTTAATCTTAACGTCTCTTCTGACCTCTATTATTTCTATTGTCAAATTTACTAGAAACCTACTGCTTCTTATACATGCTAAATCTCAGTTAATGGTGCCACTATACACGATTCCCCAAGCCAGAAACTTTAGCTTTAGACAACCATACTTAACTCTTCCTTAACATTTACATCTCATCCATCACACAAAAAAGATGTTCACTCTACTTCTAAATGTTTCTTAAATCTGTCCTTTCTTCTCTATTCCTAATGTCTCTCTTTAGCTCAGGCCCTGAATTTCTGTTCTGGATAAGGACTGTAGTCATCTCCTTTCTTCTGTTCTTGTATGCAGTGAGCAGTGACAGTATAATCTGCTCTGTTATAAATATTACAGTAAATCTTAGTAGCTCAACTAGTGTGATATAGGTAGAGAGGCAGTGAGAATCATAATATCAAAAACAACAAAGTCAGAGGCTATTTTATATTGTGAAAAATCACATAAATTTCAAGGATAAAAAGGTGAGTTATTACTATGAGTGACTCATACATAGGCTTGAGAAATTCCAAAAGGCAAAGCAAATGACACTGATGGCTCTTTTCTAAAGATCTTTCGCACTATTCTTTTCTTTGTTCCTGCAGATACTGCACTAAATTCTGATATTAAATGTGCCTTACCTTGATCTTCAGTACAGAATTTCTCAGGAAATAAACATTTCATTTATTTATTAATGTGTGGTGCTTCCTCTCCACCCCTAATTTTTAAGAAAGCGAGTTTGCAGTTCAAATGATTTTTTTCTTGCATAAATTGCTATTGCTGTTTCTGATTTTGTCTTTCTCATTTTTACATAAACCCAAATGTTTTCAATTGATGCAAAAGTTCATGAAATATTTAACAAATTTACATTGCATTAAATAAAATTCCACAATTTCTTATGTCCTATATTACATGACTTTGTCTCCTGCCCTTGCACGTCCCCAAACATCTGTACTTCCATGCCTTCACACATTGTCCATATCCCTAGAATCCCCAAACTCCTGACTCTGAACTCACTTTTAAGATTTAGCTCAAATACGACCTTATTTAAATCGTCTCTGCATCCCTAGAACTTACCTTTCCACAAACTTCTGGAGGACAAAGACTGTTTTCTTGTTCTCTATATACTCAAGATCCAGCACAATTTCTAGTTCACACAAAGCACCTCAAAATAAAATACTGAATGAAGGAATGAATGGTATTAAATGCATCCTGGAATCTGCCTAATAATGGTGGGCAACTGATTTTAAGTCAATTGAGGCCAAAACATAGATAATAGTTAACTGTAATTGAATGCCTCACTATATGCTAGGCACAAGATTAAGCCATTTCATGGACTTTAAAAAAAGTTGATATATGATCCACATAAAATTCACCTTTAAAGTATGCGATTCAGTGGCTTTCAGTATAGTTTTGCAACCATCACCACTGATTCTAGAACATCACTCCAGAAATACTATAACTATTAGCAGTCACTCCTCATTTCCCCCTCTCAGCCCCTGGCAACCAGTGATCTACTGTTTCTAATGATTTTGTTTACCTATTCACCAGCTGATAAGACAATTTGGGTCATTTCCACTTCATGGCTACTATGAATAATGCTGCTTTGAACATTTGTATACAAGTTTTTGTGGGGGTGTATATTTTCATTTATCTTGGATACATACCTAGAGTGGAATTGCTGGATCATGCGATAACTCTCTGCTTAACTTTTTGAGCAAGTCGGACTATTTTCCTAAGCAGCAGCGAGCACCATTTAATATCCCCATTAGCAATATTTTAGGTTCTGTTTCTCCACACCCTCATTAGCACTTACTATCTTTTGTATTATAGCCAACCTAGTGAGTGTGAAGTGGTATCTCATTGCTGACTTCCATTTCCCTAATACCTAATGGTGTTGAGCATCTTTTAATGTGCTTATTGGCCATGCACATATTTTCTTTGGAGAAATGTCTATATTCAGATGCCTTGGTCATTTGTCCTTTTTTACTGCTAAATTTTAAGAATTCTTTACATATTCTGGATACTAATTTTCTCTTTCTTAATCTTCACAATCACCCTGCTGAATGAAGAAAGTAGGTTTATTTCTATTTCATAGATGAAGAGACTAGAGCCTGGAGAGTTTTAGTAAGAGGCATGATTGAACCTACATCTGAGATTCTCTAAAGCCCAAGTAGGCTCTATCTACTACTTTATACTGCTTATTGATGATGGAGTAGTTTTAACTAATGATGAAGTTTAGAGAGTAACTACGCTAGTGGGCTGTTAATATGAAGATGAATGTCATTGGAATTGAGGCCAGGGTATTAGTGACAATTCACTGATTGCTGAAGTTAATGGTGGCTGGCCTCAGTCATATTCATATTAAAAGTTGTATTATATGATCTCTAAGATTCCTTCTTACCATGAAATTCTATGATTTAATAGGTCTTGTTTTTCCCAGCATCAAAACAGCAACAGTCACGAAAAGCCAATTCCTTAAGTGTTAGAACAAAGGAAGAACCATCCACTTATGTACATCCCTCTAAAGCCCAGGACTGGTCCCTTTGGAAATTCCCATCCCAATTTATTAGTGAAAAAAATCTGATCTGCTTTCACAGGCTTTTAAAAGAAGGTAGCATCTCCTACTAACCACTTAATCATTACTCTTCTTAACACAAATATGAAAACATAAGTTCTTTGCTTTGACCTGGGTAAATCATTATGATGCCACATTAAGCTAAGACCAACTGATTTCTCAGAGGCTGTCCAGGTACACACACAATTAAAATGCATAGCAATGTGTCTAAAAAAGGACACAGATGGAAAAAATGGATAGTTTTAGTGCCACCACCTTTGGTATGATCTGTTACTTCCAACACCAGATGATTTCAAGGGACGCATTTGGAAAACTTTAATAATTGCACAGGACTGCGAAGCCATGGTATAAATAAGTAAACTGAGTCATTAACAGTATAAATGTAGTTTTAATTAAAAGAAATTACAGAAAACTCAAAGAGAATATTTTCATCAATTACATATTTTATTGAAAAACAATTTAAAATAGATACATTATTTTTTTAAAAAACATGTTATTAGTAAAATACTGAACTTTTCATATAAGGATCATTTACATTTTACTCACTCTTACCAAAGTGGCACCTTTATTTTCCTAAATACTTTGCTTAAGAGTAGGGTCTCTAGTGCCCTCTGGTGAAACTTCATGAGGTTGGGCGTCCAAGAAAGTAATTCAGGTCTCACAGCTCAGAACTGAAGTTAAATAGCAGAATTACTGTCTATTCATATTTGACAATTGTGATCTGATACCTTTATCTCCTCAGGAAAAGTGTTCCTCCCACTGACACTCAGCCAAGCTCATAGCAAAAATCTCTTCCTCCTAGATTTTCACTGTCACTGTCTTTCTTTTATTTATCAATTACAGTTGACATTCTATATTATTTAAATTCATTTTATAATTTATAACCAAAGCACAATGGTTGGACATTTATATAATTTACAAAGCAACTCCCAATTAGTCTAACACCCATCTGACACCATACATAGTTACTACAATATTACTGACTCCTGCACTACATTTTATATCCCCTTGACTATTTCATAACTACCAGTTTATACTTCTTAATCCCTTCACCTTTTTCACACTGTCCCCCAGCCTCCCTCCCATTTGATCATCAGTGTCTTCTTTAAAAACAGACAAACAAACAAAAATCCCTGTCATTACAAATGGGGGAGATAATGTACGAATTTCTCTAGGTAATTTAGGTTATAATCCAGACCAAAAAAACAAAAAAGGTTAATAGGTCAGCAAAAATTATAAAGCTTAGCATGAAAGAAAGGCTTTTTTTGTGGTCCCTGATTCTTCACCCTTTATAACAATGGATAACACCACTCTAGTCAACTCTGCCTACAGTTTTTGGAAGAAGATGACCTTTGTCTCAGATTTCAGAAAGCAGACTCATTACAGGTGAGAGCCACCTCTAAAAGTAAACATCAACAAAGTCTAAGTTCATTCTCCAGACCAAATACTTTGGACTTTAGGTTCTTCAGTTCTCCTTGTATCTTATGTGCCCGTCTATTGCTGTCACGGACCTCACACAGAATGGCAAGATCTTGGTTTGCCCGGGCATTAAATGTTGCCTAGAGTTTTGGAAAAAAAGAAGAAATGATTACAGCATACTCCAGGGGAGAGAAATCGGTCATAAAGACCAGGCTACCCTGGCTCCTTTTATGAGACTTTTGGTATACAAATTAATTCAATCCTTAAGTTTGTTTAGTGACTAAAAGGAAAATGGAGAGTAAAATTACAGCAGATAGCATGAGACTCTGCTTTCCAGCACAACAGTAAAGGAGCCTTGAGATAAAGATCAATAAACAATGGGTAAAAAGAAGAGACCAATATAAACATTACTGGTAAATTTACCAAAGTATGAAAGAAAGCATCTCTTCTTTTCAATAATCAACTTTCTTTGGACACAGTGATCATTCAGGATACATAAATAACCGGTTAAAACTCTTTAAGAAGGCTCTTGAGGCAACTTTGATTCTACATAAAGCTGTTTCTGATAGGGAAAACATTTATTTCTCAATTATTCACTTTCTCTATTTGTAAAACAGACACATTCTTTTCATCTGTTCTTAAATTGGGATAAAAATTTCTAAGTTTAGCTTAGATGGTAGTATAACGATGTAGTCAATTATTTCAGCCTATTTTTGTCTTCCTTCTAGCTGTACTCGTTAAATTGATTTTAGTGAGGCTTAAAGGATGGTGATCCATTAGTACCTACCATCAGGGAAACAGAACATATTTCTTCTGAGGAGCCTCACCTGCACCACTTTTCTCCCTTTTAGTAATTTAGAATCAGCAATTACCTTATAGAGCATTTGCTCCAAGTCTTTCATTTTCTGCCGGAGAACCTTAATATCTGTCTTAAAGCCTTCCACTTCCAAGATACGCCGATTCTCCAAGGCCTGATAGCGTTTTGTCATTACCTGTAAACGCTTCCCCATCTTGTTAGAGCGATCCTAAATGTAAGGAAATGGGAAGGCATTTATGAAGACGAGGGAAGTATTCCCCAAGCCATCTGACTTCTCACTCCATCATAAGAAGCAGAGAACTTTGTACCTTGAAGATCTCTCTCCTCACTCCCTCTTCCTCACGAATTCGGGCAAGTTGTTCTTCTAGGGAAATGCACTGCTCTTGGTACATGTTAGACAGCTTTTTCTCTTGTGCTAACTTGTCCTTTAGGGACTGCAGGTTAAAAGAGAAAAAAATAATAGTTCTATACCTTAGGTAATTCAAATAACATTTAGGTAAAGAAAGGAAAGAAAGGATTTCCAGAAGTGCAAAATGAGTTAAGGAACGAGGAACTTTGTAGAACAAGAGGATTCCCTTAATCTTTTTCTAAAGTGTACAAAGTAGAAATTCTTTAAAATAAATATTTTTGGCTCTGGGAAGAGTAAATAATAGAGGTCAGAACTGTCTCAAGTAAGATATAAAAATACAGTCGGTGCATACTTCAGCAGCCCATATACTAAAAACTGGAGCCATACAGAGAAGATTAGCATGGCCCCTATACGAGGATGACAAGCAAATCTGTGAAGCGTTCCATTAAAAAAAAAAAACGTTGGCTCTATATCCCCAGGTTCCACATCCACGGATTCAACCAAGGGACAAAAACATTCCAAAAAAAGTTATGTTGTTACTGACATGTGCCATGTATTTAGGCCTACCAAACATGTACAGGCTTTCTTTTTCTTGTCATTATTCCCTAAATGATACAGTAATAACAACTATTTACATACTATTTACATTGCATTAAGTATTATAAATAGAGATGATTTAAAGTATATGGGAGGATAGGCACAGGTTATATACAAATACTATGCCATTTTATATAAGCGACTTGGGCATCCATGGATTTTTGTGTCTGCAGGGACCAATCCCCTGTAGATACTGTATATGTTTGGGGCACATTGCTAAAGTTCTTCTTTAAAAAGAAAGAAACATCAAGAACAGCATTTATTATACATGTTCCACTGAGCAGCCAGAATGATCTTTGAAAACCTAAATCAGATCACATTACTTCCTTACATACAGACTCGGGGGAAGAGCATTCCAGGCAGAGAGAAGAGCAAGTTTAAAGGCCCTGGAATATGTTCAAGGAAAAGGAAGGATGTTGTGGTTGTAGAGAAATAAGCAAAGAGGAAGAGGTATACAAAGAGATTAGAGGGGCAGGCAACAGCCAACCACGGAGGGCCACCTCTCCAACCTCATTGGGTATCACTTCCTCCTTGAGCATTCTCCAGGGCCTTTAAACCTGCTCTTCCCTAGGTCTGTATGGCAAGCTCCCATTTTTCAGGTCTCAGTAAAAACACCAGACTTAGGAAGGAGAGTATCCTTGTGCTTCTCTACAAAAGTAGACTTCCAGTAGCTACATATAATCTTCAAATAATCCTTTTAATTCCTTAATATCACTTTTTTATAATCTATTATTTTCTTGGTTATTAATGTTTCTGTTCTTTAGCCATTAAGATGTAAATGCCATGAAGGCAGACCTGGTCTAGCTTATTTATTGCTGTAGCTCCAGAGCCTAGGCCACAGAAGGAGTGCAATCAATATTTGTTCAATTAATGAATAAATGAATGAATCAATCAATAGTTGAAAATATACAATTTCTGTAAGATATACGGAAACTACCTTAATATATTCATTTTCCTTGTGATGACTCTCATGAACTGGCCAAACTTTTCCAATTTTATCTTCTTTCTTCTTACACTGTACTCTGTATTGCTTAATCTTTGACATTAATTGATCCTTTTCAAGCATCCACGATTTCTCCTTATTTTGGTTTTCAAATCTGAGTTGCAAAAAGTCTTTTGTGCTCTCATAGAGCAGTTCCTGGGTGTGATGGAGACTATAAAAGAGTACAAATGTGGACATGAAGATGCATAAAAAGCATATATGATACATAATTATACAAACAAAGGGAAGATACAGGTTCTTTTAAAAATGTACAATACATAAATTCTGTAAAATATTAGCAGTTTAAAAAAAAAATGCTTAATCTGATCACTGGCAATCTGACATGTTTTACTAGACAAAGTGTAATGACCCATGTTCATTGGTTCACAGATTGGTCTTTACAGGTATTTTCCCAAATTTCAGGTTATAGAATTAGAAGGGATACAGAAATATTTACATATAGCATGCATAAACATGGACTATTCCCAGGCACTGGACTTTACAGTAAAGCACTGATTTATTGTTTTCTGATTAAAGGTTAACAGAAGTTCTAAGATGTCAAAAACAGCTTTGCTTTTGTTTATGCTGTGCTCCACATGAAAACTGCCCAATATCAAATCTTGCCTTTTTAAGATCAACTTCCTCTCAAAGTCATCTCAATAACTTTAGCCCATTTAATTTCTCCATTCTCTGAAATTCCTCATCAGTTTAAATCTATACTTTGTTATATAATTCAACACTTGCTTATATACTATGTCATGTTCTAACTGTCAATATACATGTTTTCCAACCTGAGTGAAAGCATATACTTATTTATCATCTATTTTTGTCCTTCTACCAGC